GAGAGCATTGGTTAGTGGTGAACACAGTGTGTGAGATGTCTTCTCTAAGTGGGAAGAAAAAATGGATTGAGATGTGGGATTGTCAAAACTTAAAAATTTAGGGTTTTAAAGAGGGTCCCACAGGACAAATGTGTTGCATTGTTATTTATAAGTTGTGAATATTACATGATTGTATAAGCATCTATATGTAAAGAAGCTTTTTTCTGCAAATTATCCCACATCTCTGAATAAATGTCAGTGGCTATAGCAAGTGCCAAGGTATTTGTCTAAATCATAGTATGGAATTCTATAGAAGAGGAGGATAAACAGGGAAACATGAAAGTTTTTAAAAAAAGAAAAAATGCATATTAAAAAAATCAAATAGAAGGTTGAAATCCTCATCGACTATTAGAGAACTCGATAGTTAAACCAGAGTAGTTTATAACAATAGACTGAGGTGAAGAGCTGGATTATTTGGTCCAAGACATTTACTTGCTACTCAGAGTTTCATGCTCCTTCTGAGGCAATCATCAGAGTTACCTGATGATTGCTCTGGAAGAAGCATGAAACTCTGAGTAGTGAGTACATGTCTTGGGCCAACTGCATGTAATCCAGCTCTTTACCTCTATTATTATAATAAAGAAATCATATATTAGCTTTATTTAGCGGATGAAAAGAGGACATTTGGATCAAAACAAAATCACACTGTATACTTGGGCCGAATCTTGTTGCCTTCTCCTCTATTTAATTTTCTTACATACATTTGTAAGTAGATTACATCGAATTAATTGTGCATGTATTTCTATTAATTTTTGCAACTCTATAGTAAGAATGCTGCCTACTTTTTTGCATATTTAACANTACACGTATTTCTATTAGTTTTTGCAACTCTATAGAATGCTGCCTACTTTTTTTGCATATTTAACAGCAGATTTGACACCTTATAATTGCGAGACTGAGAGAAATTGAGACTCCAAGACACTTTTGTATTACATGTATAAAATATTAGATTGTGAGATGTACATAATGCACATAAAAAAAATGAGATCATGAGATCCTTGAAATTCAAATAAAATTTTGCAACAATGCAGATTTTTTGAAGGACCATATGTGACCTCTCTTTATTCTCATGAAATTGAATTTTATCAGCTACAGTGTATGGTCTTGTATTTCCATAACTGTTAAATATAGTGATCTTAGACGAAGCTGATAACAAGTGAATGTGGTTTTATACTTAA